TAACAAACGAAATAATTTCTACCTTTCAATTTTCTCAATTTAATACATATACAAATCTTACTAGTCAAATCATTGACTGATCCTCTAATTTTCCAATATTTTCTACACTAGTTTATTTTTTAAAAAGATTTATTTATTTATTTATTTATTTATTATTTTTGAGAGAGAGAGCGTGAGTGGGGCAGGAGCAGAGGGAGAGGGACAAGCAGACTCTACGCTTAGCATGGAGCCCGATATGGGGTTTGACCCAACGACCCTGAGATCATGACCTGAGCTGAAATCAAGAGTGGGACATTTAACCAACTGAGCCACACAGGCACCCCTATGCTATTTTCTAACTCTGTTTTTTTATTTTACTTTTTGGAAGATTTTCTCCATTTTTAAGAGTTTTAACTTTCAAGAGCTCTTTCCTGGCCTCAGACTATTCTCCTTTTAGAGCACACTATTCTTGTTTCATTGATCTTTTATCTCTTATTAGGAATATTAGTTATGATTGTTAGTTTGGGTTTTTAAACCTTTTTCTTCTGTTCCTCGTATTGTCTCTATTTCTTTTAATTCCCCTTTTTTCTATTTCTGTTTTTATCTCAGTCTCTCATGTTGATGATCCTTGGTTGTCTATTCATGTGTATGAGCTTGGTGCTAGAATGCCAAAGGGAAGCTCCATGTGCATCTGTAGGACTTACTAACTGGTACCACTCAGTGTGGGTTAATAAGGCAGAGCTGGGTTTTGTTTCAATGGGGGACCCCAAATATCAGCATTCAATTTTTTTATTCTTTGGAGCTTGTGGTAGATTATTTTAGCGGTCCTATATGCGTACTTTTTCCTATGGGACTTTGTACTTTCTTCCCATTTGGCAGCACATGCTTTGGCCAGCAGAATAAGGTGGAATGATGATAGGCAAGTTTGGCCTTGGCTTCAAAAGTCTTTGTCAATTTATATTTGCCCTCTTGTACTTCTGCCATTGCCAACAAGGAAGTGCCCAGGCAGCCTGCTGGTATGAAGAGGAGGATGGGAAACGCATGGAGCAGAGCTTCCCCAACCAAGCTCTCCCACCAAAACACAGCCTGGGGCAACATGCTTACTGTTGTAGGTCACTGATGCTGTGGCAGTTTGCTAGACAGCATTTGTGTAACAATAATTAACTGATGCCCCAGAGAGGAATCCCAGAACATCCAGTCAGAGAGTAGAATGAAACCTGACTGCAAGCTTCAGGGAGGTGAACTGGCACAGAAGGCTGGAGGCCTCACTGTCCAGCCTACACACTTTCAATTAATCCCTCCATTTTGGTATGGTGCTTCACCTCTGCCTTTAGCCATGACTGAAATCCCTGAGTCTAGATGCTCTCTCATTCAACTTATGCAGAAAATAAACCTCTCTTCTGTCAGGGTGGAGGAGGGCTATTTTCCAGCTGTACACAGGAAGGAGGAGAATGGGGTGAAGGAAAAATACAACAAATTCTTATTTAAATGTTTATTCCTCATCTCAGATTCTTAGTAGTTGGTGCCTCAATTACATATTGTTGTTATTATTATAGTCTTGTGGTGTATTTAAATGTGACTTATCATACTCTTACCTTCTAGTCTCTTTTTTCAAAATTGTCTTGACTAACTGTGGACACTTAGTCAATGTGATTTTTTTTTTTTGTATCAGTTTGTCAAATTCCCAAAAACTCCTGATGATATTTTTATAGGAATTGAATTTAACTTATAGATAAACTTGGAGATAACTGACAACTTTACAATGGTAAGTCATTCTATCAATAACTATATGGTATATTTCTCCTTTTATTTGGTCTCCTTGTATATCCTTTGAGCTGTGGACAGAAGTGGCATGTGTAACTTCAAGGATATGCCCTAAAAGAGAAGGAGCATGCCTTTCTCCTCCTCTTTCCTCCTTGCTGGCTAGACTGTGGATAGGAATATTGAAATTGAAGCAGCTGGGACACCTGGGCAGCTCATTTGATTAAGCTCTGACTCTTGATCTCAGCTCAGGTCTTGATTTCAGGGTCGAGAGTTCGAGCCCTAGGTTGGGCTCCACCAATGTGGAGTCTCCTTAAAAAACAAAACAATAACAATGAACAGAAACCTCAGAAGCCATTTGGGATCATGAAGTGACCTTGGGCTAGATACCATATATAGCTGAGTAACAAGTTAGAAGGGGCCAGGATTCCTCCCCCTGTGAAGTTCCATCTGGGCCTAGACACCTATTTCTGAACTTCTTTGGGAAAGAGAAATAAAACTCCAATTTATCTGAATCTCTGTTACTTCACAGTGACCACATAGTTATGTTCTACTCAGTGGTTCTCAAAGTGGGGTTCCCTAGAATAGGAGCCACAGCAACACCTGGAACTTATTAGAAATACCCATTCTTGGGACCCTCTACTGAATCAGAAGTGCTGGGTAGGGCCCAGCAATCTGCTTTAATGAGCCCTCCATGTGATTGTGACGTGTGCTACCATTTGAAAAGCATTATTCTATTTCTCTCCTAAGTCCAACACATACAATAGTATGTCCATGGGACGACTGCCCACTTTCTTTAGGAGACAGAGCTCAGAGGTTATCCTGGAAGTGAAGGCTTCCACACATATACTTTGTGTAAGTTGAGTAGAGGGCAAGAGAAGGATGTGACAATTTTATTTATTCCTAATACAGTTGTTTCATGAGTGGCTGATGGTTGCCCATGTCTCCTTCCTGCTGACTTGTTGAACTAGGCTAATTAAAGACTCCACATTCGGGCGCCTGGGTGGCTCAGTCGGTTAAGCGACTGCCTTCGGCTGAGGTCATGATCCTGGAGTCCCGGGATCGAGTCCCGCATCGGGCTCCCTGCTCGGCAGGGAGTCTGCTTCTCCCTCTGACCCTCCCCCCTCTCATGCTCTCTCTCTCAAATAAATAAATAAAATCTTAAAAAAAAAAAAAAAGACTCCACATTTGGCTCATAGGTCACCAATCCATGATTAGATTCATATTCAGGCCATTCTGATTCTAGATAATTAGAACATTTACCCATTAATCCACAGCATTTTCCCCTTTTACTGCACTACACAGCATTACAAGAATGTTCCGGTCCTCTGGGCACATTAAATGAGAGATAATTCCGCACTTACTGTCAAGAATTCCCTAGGACACCATCTGCCAAGTTTCTAATTCAAAGACCAATTTTTGAAAACCACTTTCTGAAAACCAGCTCACATCAAATTCAATCTCTTTAAGTGTTTATTAATCTATTGAGAGCTCCTATTCTTTTGCTATCTGTCTCAGCAAACTGACTTAAATGCAAATGAGGGTTTATTGGCTCACAAAATGAATTCCTATAGTATAGGTAGTGGTAGCCTCAGGCGTGGCTGGATCCAGAGGCCCAAAGGAATCCTCAGGGCTTCATCTCTTTCCCGGCACCTGTTGGATCTACTTTCCTCTGTGTCGGCTCCATTCTCAGCTATTTCCATGTAGTGCCTGTAGCAGCTCTGGTTTCATAATCTTTATAGTTGGCAATCCTAGGAGTTCCAAAACGGCACCAGAATGGAGACCCAGTGGCCCGGTTTGTGTCATGTGCTCATCCCTGAACCACAGGCATAAAATATTCGGACATTCCTGTAAAGCACTTGCACATCCTAGGCTGAGTCTGGGTTAGGTAAGTGCCTCCATCATCCAGGAGCAACCATGTTCGTGCCCTCCATGAGACTTCTCCCACTTATCTTTGTGAGGCTCTTAGGGATAAGGAGTAAGCAGGGCCTAGAAGAGCATAACTTTATCTGAGGATTGGCAGGTTAACTATTAATGATCTTTACCAAAAATGTACAGATCCAGAAAATCCAGTGAATTGAAAAAATAGAGGCAAGGAGACATGACATTATGAAATGGGTAGAGAGGAAGGCCTGGACTGAGGGAGAAAGATACTGAGGATCATAAACAGATAATTATAGATATAGTGAAAGACAAACTTATGAGGGGTAAACAGAGACACATAGAGAGATGAAAACCAATAGGACAGGATCTGTAGCTGAAATGGAGAGACAACAATAGATCCTCCCTCCACCACCCGGTACACACACACACGGAAACATTGCCACAGAGAAATAATAATTCAAGGAGCCTGAAAATAACACGTCTATTGGGTATGAGGGATCTAGGATGGTTATCTGAGAGATTCATTCAGGGATGGTGGGATAGGTGTTTCTAGAAAGTAGGATGTGAACCATGGTGTAACCACAAATCCAAGTCTGGTAGGATCGTGTACTCATTCATTTTGTAGTTACTGAAACCACAAAAGAAAGCCACAACTTAATGAAAAGTTTATTTCAAAACTTGAACAGACTTTCCTCCAAAGGGGTGCAAATGGCCAAAAAGCACACGAAGATGTCCAATATCATTCATCATGAGGGAAATGCAAATCATACTGCAGTGAAGTACCACTTCCCACCAGTTGGCTAGAATTTGAAAAAATGAAAATAACAAGTGTCAGCAAGGATGTAGAAAAATTGGAGCCCTGTACATTGTTGGTGGGAATGTAAAATGGTGTAGATGCTAAATACTCATAGTGGTATCATTCACAGTAGCACAAAAAGTGCACACAATCCATAGGTCTATCAAAAGACGAGTGGATAAACAAAAGCTGGTATAGCCATACAATGACATATCAATCAGCTATAAAAAGTAACAAAGAAGGGCACCTGGGTGGCTCAGTCAGTTAAGCGTCTGCCTTCCGCTCAGGTCATGATCCCAGGCTCCTGGGATCAAGCCCTGCGCCAGGCTCCTTGCTTGGCGGGGAGCCTGCATCTCCCTCTCCCTCTCCCTCTGCCTGCAGTTCCCCCTGCTTGTGCTGTCAAATAAATAAATAGAATATTTTTTAAAAAGTAACAAAGAACATGGGGCGCCTGGATGGCTCAGTTGGTTAAGCGTCCAACTTGATAGAGGCTCAGATCCAAGCCCCACACTGGGTTCCATGCTCAGTGGGGTGTCTGCTCGAGATTCTCTTCCTCTACCCCTCCCCCACCCCTGCACTCTCTCTAAAATAATAAATCTTTTTAAAAAAGTAATGAAGGACTGATGCATGCTACAGTGTGGATGAGCCTCAAAAACATATTAAGTAAAACCAACACAGAATATTTTATGATTTCATTTATATGAAAAGTCCCCAGGAGGGAAATCTATGGAGACAGGCTGCAGATTGGTGGTTGCCATTGGCTGGAGGATGGGATGCAGGCAAGTGATTGCTTCAGGGGCACAGGGTTCTCATTTAGGACAGTGAAAATGTTTTAGAACTGGATACAGATCATAGTGGTTGCTTAACACTGTGAAGGTACTAAATGCCACTGAATTTGTTATTATGTGGTGAATCTAAAAATGGTTATGTGAATTTTACTTAAATTAGATTCATGTTCTGTGTTCTTTTATGTGATGGTCTGTCAGGTGCGGCCACAAGAGAACAGAAGCCCAAGAACACAAAATTTATTATACTCCAAGGTCTGAAAGAGGAGGTCACTGCCGGTCCCCCAGGGTCACAGGGCAGCATCAGGTATGGTCAGGTGGCAGAAGGCAGGACTGAGAAAACAGCTTTTCCCATGGCCTTTGTTGGAGTGGGAAAGGCAAGGCAGGATAGGGTAAACAGTTTAGGATTGGCTGGTTTGAGTATTTTCTGTGGTCTCTAAGTTGTTGGGGGGACCTCAGATGCCTCGTACCTGGCTTGGGATGATTAAAGCAGAGGAATATGGCCTTCTGGGGGTGTACAGGACAAAGAGAGAGGAGGTATGGCCCTGAACTTGTTCGTTTGTGGATGAAAGGCATGTTCTGGGATGAGTCCTTTGCTATCTCTAAGAACTGGCTGGCCCTGGGAGGGGCAGTCTCTCCCAACTCAGACAGGGATTTTTTTAAGGACGACAAAATGGCCTAATATGAAGAACCTAAAAAATATACACATATATAATAAGATATTGGAAAGGGAGAGAGAGGGAGAAGCAGAGAGAACCTACTGACCTAGGTTCTGGGAACAGCACTGAACCCAGAGTCCTTGCTCTCCTGGAACTCGCCTGCTAGTGGGGGCAACAGAAAATAGAAAATGAGGTAAGATAAGCTTGGGTAGTAATTGGGACTTTGAAAACAGGAAAGCAGAGTCAGGTAGTAGAACATACAGTAGCAGGTGGGGAAGCCATTTCAATAAGATGGTCAAAGAAGGTCTCCCTGAGGAGGGAGCATGGAGCAGAGACATGTGAGTGGAGGGGAGCTCCATCTGGAAAGGCTATCTAAGGAGAGGAGGCAACAAGTGAAAAGTTCTGAGATGAGAGTGTGAGTCAGGGGGGGAGATCTGAAGAGCAGGGTGGCCAGGAGGGACATAGAGAGGGTGACACGGCCAGGGCCAGATCATGCAGGCTTATGGAGACCCAGGAGGGCTTTTGGAATTGTTCTAAATTTAATGGGAAGACACTGAAGAATGAAGAGCATCAGATGACGCAACCTCCATGTGGCACAACCACAGGGGGCGCCATGTACATGGACCACACTGTAAAGGAGTGTCTCTGGAGTTGGCTGAGTGGGCGGCCCTGCAACCTCAACTCTCCTACCCATGGCAGACATTGCTCATCAATTACAGGCCCCACTCACCCAGCACTGGATGCTCAGAATCCTTCTCCACCAGGGACCCCAAATGACCTCAGCCACTTCCTCAGAGCTGAGCGTGCCAGTCTCTGCCATCATTTTCCCTGACCCTTTGCTGACACAGGGACCTCCTGGGGCTGGTCTGACAGAGACACGGTAACACAGAGTGGGAGCAGACCTGATCAGTTAGTTCTTTATTGGGAAGGGGATGTTGTCTGTAATCCGACACATCTGTGACCCCAAAAAAATCTCGAGTTCAAGACCCAGATGGGTTGCTGTGAGGTCATAGTTGCCACGGAAAAAGCCACGGGTACGGTAATTATGCCAACGCCAATAGACCTGGATGATGCGGGCTGCATGGAGCAAACGGCAGTATCTCTGGCGGATGCGCCACATGCGGACCAAGGACTGCAGCTTGACCGCTGCCCATTCTTGCCACAGGAAAGACTCGAGGACTGCTCGTTTTCTCTTCTCCAGCAGCTTTGCCAGCGTCACCTTCCACCAGTGCTGAATGATACATGCTCTGAGTGCTGCGTGTAGCAAGGTCCTGCGCACCAGAGTGCCCCGCCACCACGCCTGGATCTTTATGGCTTTCTGCTCTTGGTCAGGGCGCTTCTTTTTCTTTGGGGGGAGAGGTTGCAAAGATAAAGAAGGGATTCTCAGGGAACGTTCCCCACCCACCTCAGCTCCAGGGCATGCCAAGAAAGGCTTTCTCAGAAGTTCAGGAGCACTGGGCAGGGACCCAGTAGACCAGATATGTTTCCTGTCTGTGCCCCTCTCTTTTAATGCACCTGGACACATCACGTTGTCCCCTGAGGCTCAGGCTCCTCATCTGTAAAATGGAGCATTCTGGCACTAGCTATCCCACCATTACATGGACCTGGTTGGCCTGTCTGGAACAGGCATGTCATGAATCATGTTCCACCTGGGTCTGGCCACCTACCTGGGCTGCATAGTCCTTCCCTCCCACTGCCGCACTGAGACGGCTGGAGAAGCAGCATCCTTTGTTTGCTTTCATGCTTGACTCCAGCTCAAGCTGTGTCCCTCTGTCAAGTCACAGTATTAGAAGTTTCCCTGCTCCACACAGTGTGGAGCCTTTCTCATCTAGCTCTCAATTTCACTTGTGTTCTCACATCTTAAACTTCAGTTAGCACGCATACAAGCACATATGTGTCTGCACGCACACACACAGTTCTAGACGGGGCTTTCCCTGTCCGTGGCAATGCCCTCCCCAAACACAACTTCACTGTCCCATGCCCCAGCTTGGCATGGTCTGATTCCCACTCGTCAGGGGTTCCCCTCCCTCCAACCAAGTCTCTGTGCCTCAGTCACCCCCCTTTCTCTGACCGAGAAGGAATTCGGAGGAGAGGATAACCAAGGATGAGCTGGAATGAATGCTCTGGATAGGGCAAGCATTCATCCTGGTTGGCCTGGGACATTCTCAGTTTATGCTTATTATTCCTGAGGAATCATTCATAGCACTACCTGTCACATACAAATGGAACCTGGTTCAGATGACAGATTCCAGGATCAAGCCATGCTATGGGGCACAGAGAAGACAACCCATCAGTCCTTGAGAATAGGAGTCACCCTCAACTTTGAGGGCCTTCAGTGACCTACCTTTGGTGGACAGGGTTGGGGTGGAGATGGAGGAGGTGTGGGTGGAGGCTCTTTTTTCTTTTTCTTCTGTTTTTCTTTCTCTTTCAGCAATGTGGTTTCATCAACATCTTCTATTATGATTTCGCAAAACTGGCCATCCTTCTGTAATCAGAGTTTAGAGGGGAAAGGTATGGGTAGGTGTTCTCTGTACAACCTTGTGCCACATCTGCCTCATACTCAACTTCCTGCCTGGCCCAGAGTCCCTAGATGTAGAACTTGCATCCTGAGTTAACTGTGGGAATCCATCTTCCCCTGCCTGCAATTCCGGGTGACTCTCTCTTACACAAAACCGAATGCCCATGACTTGGCTATAGATGGTTCAAAGCCCCTCAGGTCTGTAATCCCTTGAATTTCCCATGGTTAGGAGCGTAATGGTTCCATTGCTCCCAGGTCTGTACTCTCCCAGCCGCAGCCTGGCAGGAAGAGACAGGGATATGATGTCATAAGGGCACCTATGACTCAGGCACAAGGATGGTTCCAGACAGTTGAGTTCTTTTTGGTGAAAATATGGAAGTCCTTGCCCACTCTTTCCTACCACAAGGGCCCAAAATTTGGCAAAAAAGGCAGCACACAGAAAATACTGCCCATGGACACAAAAGTTTACAGAGACAGTCATTTCCTGCTGGTCGATAAAAACATAAATTTGAGACAATTTAAACATCCATTAATAAAGCATTCCCTTAGATGCATTTCATTTCAATCGAACAATGGAACCAAATAATGATTAGAAAGAATGAGTTTTCAGCAAAATCTTAAACAAGCACTTCACTAAAGATCCATGAATGGCTAGGAAGCACATGAAAAAATCCCCAACATCAGTCACACGGGAAAGGAAAATCAGAACCACAGTTACTCAGTTCTTTATTCACCTCTTCTCAGCAAAAGGATGATCCTAATGACTCAGCGCACTATTATCTGACGTGGAAATCTCTCCAGATTATATGTGCTTTTTTCAAACTGAAGCACAGTTAACACACCCGGTTACATTAGTTTTGGGTGTACAACACAGGGACTGGACACGTTTAACCCCTGCTATATTTTTATCCACACCTTATTTTCAACTTCTCATCACGTTTTGTTAACAAAATAGAGGTGTCTTTTTTTCCCTCAGCATTCTTATATTTATTCAAATTCAAAAATCAAAATTTTTTTTTTAAAGATTTTATTTATTTGGGGGTGCCTGGGTGGCTCAGATGGTTAAGCGTCTGCCTTCAGCTCGGGTCATGATCCCCGGGTCCTGGGATCGAGTCCTGCATCGGGCTCCCTGCTCGGCGGGGAGCCTGCTTCTCCCTCTGCCTCTGCCTCTCTCTCTCTCTCTGACTCTCATGAATAAATAAAAAAAAAAAAGATTTTATTTATTTGACAGAGAGAGAGATAGCGAGAGTAGGAACACAAGCTGGGGGAAAGGGAAGAGGGAGAAGCAGGCTTCCCGTGGGGCAGGGAGCCCGATGCGGGGCTCGATCCCAGGACCCTGGGATCATGACCTGAGCCGAAGGCAGACGCTTAACAACTGAGCCACCCAGGCGCCCCTCAAAAATCAAAATTTGATTCCCGTACCGCTAGGTACACAGAGCACATACGATCACATACAGAGCGCATGTAACGGCGAAGAGCAAACCCCCTGGGAAACCTTCTAGAATAGCAGTCACCCTGGAAGAATTCTGAAGACCAAGAGCTGCTAATGAAGGAACGTGTTGAAGTCAGCCAGATGCGGAGCCTGGGGGCCAGGTCACTCTCGTTCAGCTCAGCCTGTGGCGCCGTCTCGGGACCGTCCCCGCCACGACAGCTTCTCGTGCTTTCACGCCATCCTTGGGTTTCTGTGCATGTGCGTGGGGAAAGATGACAGCACCACAGGCTTCCGAGGCACGCCATCAGCGTGGGAGCGCGCCCTCCCAGGCAAAGCGACAAGACCCGTGTGGGTGGCGGAGGGACGGTCCCAGCTTGCGGAGAATACCCTTTGGGTAGCACCATTTCTCTCTCTTTAAAAAAAAAAAAAAAGTATTAAATTCAATATGCTGGCTAACTGAACAGAAAAAAAATAAACAGTATTAAATTCAGATGCCCACAGAACCACAAAAATAGTAATCTACTATGTTTTATTATGAACACATCTTAAATTCTTACCTTGCTCTTTCACCAAGGGTATTAACGTTTTTGGAAACATCTAAACAAGAGACCTATCAATCAAAATAATTCTGCAGAATCTTGCTGAAATGACCCAGAGAAGAATGTGAAGTGGTGTTCCCGGGTCCATTGCACAGAATCTCTGTGACTTCCTGGAATTCTAGAAATCTCCAGTGCAGCCATATGCTGAGGGGACCGGATGCAAAATGTTCAGCAGGTAGCTCAGACGGCTTTCAGCATTTGTGTGAAAGAATTACCTTTGCCTCACAGAAGAGATCCAACACAGAGTCAGTATCTCGAGGTGGAAAGTCAGGACAGGGGACAAAGGCACTGAGCAATCAGTGAGCTCCAGGGAGAGCAGCCTCTGGAAAGAGAAGCACCAAGACAGGGATGCGGCTGCCCACTGATGGCCCTTCCTTGGATGTCCAAGGTCAGTGCGATCCTGGTCGCACCAGGGCTAGAGGAGATGCATGAAAGAATCTCACTGTAATCCTTCGTCTTCAGAATAACATCTTGGGCGCCTGGGTGGCTCAGTTGGTTAAGCGACTGCCTTCGGCTCAGGTCATGATCCTGGAGTCCCGGGATCGAGTCCCGCATCGGGCTCCCTGCTCGGCGGGGAGTCTGCTTCTCCCTCTGACCCTCCCCCCTCTCATGTCCTCTCTCTCATTCTCTCTCTCTCAAATAAATAAATAAAATCTTTAAAAAAAAAAAAGAATAACATCTGGGCCACCACCACCTCGGCTGAGGATCTACGCATCTGCTCCTTGGTCAGCTCAGAGCCCCCGCGGGCGACCTGCGGCTGCTCGGCCTCCTCGCTCACCGTCAGCTTCCTGGAGAGGTATATGCCCGTGGCCTGATCCTCCTGGAGGAATCTCTCCACGTCTTTCTACGCTTTTGTGTATTTGTACTTAACAATGAGATCATACCCCCGATGGCAAACCTCTGCATCCTGCTGGGGGAGGTGGTATGTGGAGTGGAGGTTTTGCAGAGTTTTTCGGGGGTTGAGAGTCTTCTGCTTCAAGAGATGCTCCAGAAGCAAGACAAGCTGGTCTGGGAGGAGCTTTGCAAACACTTCTTTGGTCTCCCTTTGTTTCTGTTTTCAGGGTCTCTGGTCACTCATATTCATTTCTTGACCGTGTGAGCCTGGCACTCCCTCTGCAGAGGCTCACCCCCTAGAAGGGGAGGGTGGGGGGGAGCTGGCTGTCAGGAGAGGAGGAGGAGTGCGGGGGCCTGCAACACCTAAGGCACAGCTCGGGAGGTGGGCGGCAGGGGCGATAAAATAAATCAAGGTGTCTCTTGATTCAGCAAGGAAGTCTGTATTTTTAATAGATGAATGCTGCAAATTCACATTTATCATGATTTCTAATATGACTGGAGTTATTGTGATACTGTTTTATGGCTTCCACGCCTGGTTTTCCCAGGAAGTGGCCACAGAAGGGAGGAATGCTTTGTGTCGCAGCCCCTGGGGAGGGAGGGTGTTGCCCCTCAGCTCCTGGCCTGGCCTTCCCAGCTGGCTCTGGCTACAGACAGACTCTCTGTTGTCCTACCCTGAGTGGAGGAGATGCCTGGGCCGGGGATGCAGAATAATAAAGGCCAAGTCCTATACTCCCTGGGGACAAGCATTAGACCATGTTCCCTGTCCCTATTTGCATCCCAGTGAGCCTGAAACCTAGGGTCTATTTTAGAGAGGAAATTTTCCAGCTCTGCCTTGGGTGGACTAGACCCAGCCCCCCACCCCCTTCTATGTAATAGATTTCCATAAGTGGTCATCAGGTTGGGTAGGCTAGGGTATCCTACGTCATGGCCTTCTTTATTTCAAGCTCCATCTGGCTTTGCGGACCGTACAGTTGTAACAGGAATCAAGGAGGGACCTGGTAACATTGTCTGGGGGCCTGAATCTAGGTGCAGCTACATCCATATTTGCCCCTTGAAAAACGGGCCTCCAAGAGATAACCATGTCAAATCCCTGGAACCTGGGAAGGTTACCTCCTACAGTAAAAGATGGGATTAAGTGAAGGGTCTTGCGAGGAGGGGCTTATCCCGGATTATCTGGGTAAGACCTACATGCGATCACACGCATGCCTCATCAGAGAGAGGCTGTGGGAGTTTTGAGAGAGACACAGAAGGAAAGACGATGTAAAGATGCAGGCAGAGATCACAGCGGAAGCTGGAAGAGGCGAGGAAGGAATTCTGTAGAGCTTCTTGGGGGAGTCTGGCTCTCCTGATGCCTCGATTTCAGGCTCCAGCCTACAGAATGTCAAGAGAACACATTTCTATTGTTTTAAGCTCCCATGTTTGTGGTAATGTGTCCCAGCAGCCATGTAAACTCATACACCCCCTAAATTTAAGTAGGGCAGTGAAGTCTCTTTTTTGCTTAAGCTAAGTCGGTTTTCTATCATTTGCAACTGAAAGAGTCCTAATTCAGACAGGAGTTTAAGAGAAGAGAGAGGCAAAAGAATAGAGTGTTATCTGAGCACAATGGAGGAGAGAAGAGGGGGAGCTAAAGGCGGGGGAGGGGGTAGCCAGGCAGGCACTGCCCCGGGAAGGAAAGGACAGGTGGAGACAGCGCAGCAATGGGAATTTTATCCAGGCCGCCATGGTGGTAATAATCATTGATGGGACTGTTACAATGATCAGTTATGACATAGGAACATCCATGCCATTATCTCCAACTGTGTGTGTGCACATGTGTGTGTCAGAGAGACAGAGACACACAGAGAGACAGAGGCCAGAGAGAGGAAGCTGATCTGAGACATAACCCAAAGCTGCCAATCTAAGTCTGCCTGAAAACCTAAATGATGGAGCACCAGCTTTTTGAGAGGAAAGGTGGCAAATAGGGATAAGCCAAATTCCATTACCTAATAGAGCAACACTGGGCCTTGTTTGTTTTATGCAAAGACATAAAAATCTTGGCCACATACTAAGAAGGAGTCAAGGTAATTCGAGGTTGGGGGCAGGTGCTAGAAAAAGCAGAACTTGCCTGAGGAAGGAGAAGGAAAAAGAAGGGGGAGTGGTCCCTTCTCAAACCCACGAAATTGCCAAATGTGCAGGAGCCCTTTATTGGTACATGCAAGGGCAGATCCAGCCATGGGGAATGCCCAGCCATGAGGGGGGATGTCTACACATTGGAAGAATGTCCAGCCATGGGTGGGAACATTTAGCCATAATGAGGCTGTCCAGTCATGGAAAGAGGTCCTGCCATGGGGTCGACGCTCAGCTATGATTAGGGATGTCCAACCATGAATAAAGCTATCTCTCAGAAGCTCAGCTGAGCTGGAGAGAGTTGAGAGTTGGCAAGTATCAGAGTAGATGTCCTGACTGTGACCTTGAGGCCCTCAGGGGAAGAGGAGGACAGGAGACTACTTGAGGCCACTTGAGCCTGAGATGGGTGCCCTGGTTGGTCCTTGAGGCTTCATGGGTTTTTTGGCCTGTGTGGGTCCTGCTCTCCCAGAAGGCTGATAACTGGGTACCTGGAAGATGGGCCAGACACAGGGGATTCAGCCACAGTGCGGGAGTTTACTGTCACGCCAATTCCACTATCCTCGTCAAAGATGATTGCTAAATTTTATAGTGTTTATTTCTCTAATCCTCTCCTTTAAAAAATAATGCCTTTATAACATATATATAGAATATGTACCTAGATAGGAACCATATTATACAATTAAATTTGTTTTACTTACACCTTCCCTGTCAGTCCGTAGAGAACAAACTCATTCTTTGTGATTTTGTTGTTTCTTAATGGGGTTTGATGAGTTTTCACAATTCTGTATTCCCTGGTAACCACCACCCAAAACAAGACACAGCAAATTTCTGTCTCTTTGTGCTGTTTGTAGGCAATACCACTTACACCCCCACCCAGATGTAAACTGTTCTGAATTATTTTACCTATAGTTTAGTTTTGCCTGTTTTCTAAGTTTTTCTAAGTGGAATCATCCTGTAAGTATGATTTCATGTCTGGTATCTTTCATGTCTGGCTTCTTCAATTTAGCTTAACATTTTTGAGATCCACCTATGCTGTCGTGGGTGTCAGTAGCTTACTAATTCTTGTGTTTCTTTTTTTTAAAGATTTTATTTATTTATTTATTTATTTATTTATTTATTTATTTGAGAGAAAGAGCACAAGCAGGGGGAGTGGCAGGCAGAGGGAGAGGGAGAAGCAGGCTCCCCACAGAGCAGGGGGAGCCCGATGTGGGACTCGATCCTGGGACCCCCGGATCATGACCTGAGCCGAAGGCAGCCGCTTAACCAACTGAGCCACCCAGGCACCCTTGTGTTAAATTTTCTAAGTCCTATGGAATTTGATTCCCTGAGGTACCTCATGTACGTGGAATCATATGGTATTTTTCTTTCTGTGACTGGCTTATTTCACTCAGCATAGTGTTCTCAAGGTTTATCCATGCTGTAGCATGTGCCAGAATTTCTTTCCTTTTAAAGGCTGAATAATGTTCCATTGCGTGTATATACCACATTCTGTTTATCTATACATTCGTCAATGGCCACTTGGGTTGCTTCCATATTTTAGCTCTCATGAACAATGCTGCTATGAACACTGCTATGAACATGGGTGTATAAACATCTCATTGAGACCTGTTTTCAATTATTTGGGGTATATACCCAGAAGTGGGATTGCTGGATCATATGGTAGTTCTATTTTTAATTTTTTGAGGGCCCACCATACTGTTTTCTACAGTGGCTACACCATTCTACATTCCCACCAACAATGCATGAGGGTTCCGATTTCCCCACATTCTCACCAACATTTGTTATTTGCTGGTTTTTTTTTTTTTTAAAGATTTTATTTATTTATTTGAGAGAGAGAGAATGAGAGAGAGCACATGAGAGTGGGGAGGGTCAGAGGGAGAAGCAGACTCCCTGCTGAGCAGGGAGCCCGATGCGGGACTCGATCCAGGGACTCCAGGATCATGACCTGAGCCGAAGGCAGTCGCTTAACCAACTGAGCCACCCAGGCGCCCCAGCTGGGTTTTTTAAAAAAATAATATCCATCCTAATGAGTGTGAGGTGTGTCTCACTGTAGTTTTGATTTGCACTTCCCCCATGATTAGTGATGTTGAGCATCTTTACATGGACTTACTGGCCATCTTTATGTCTTCTTTGGAGAAATGCTTATTCAGGTCCTTCTCTCATTTTTAAATTGGGTTGTTTCTTGTTGGTGTTGAATTTTAGGAGTTCTCTATATATTCTTGATATTAATCTCTTACCAGATACATGATTTCAAATATTTTCTCCCGTTCTGTGGGGTGCCTTTTTACTCTGATGATAGTGTCTTTTAATGAACAAAATTGTAGTCTAATTTGTCTTTTTTCTTTTGTTTCCTGTGCCTTTGGTGCCATATCCAAGAAACCATTGCCAAGTCCAATGTGCAATTTTTACCCTATGTTTTCTTCTGAGAGTTTAAGAGTGTTTTAGGTCTTGCATTTAGGTGTTTGATCCACTTTGAATTTTTTTATATGGTGTTAGATAAGGGTCCAAAGTCCTTCTTTTGCATATAGAGAACCAGTTTTCCCAACACCATTTTTTT